TGGGTGGGCTACCGCCTTCTTCAACTGACTTGCTGATTTCCGTGAGCGTGGGACACGAGCTGGTGTTGCTGACTCCGGAGCTCCTTTGGGTGTCTGCTATGTTCGAGCCTTACCCCCGACTGTTATTGGCGTCTCGGGCTCTGCAACCATTCGTAACCGCCCGCCCATGCTTGTGCCAGGCACCGCTACAGTTTCGGCTGCTGCTGGTGTTTTCCAGTAGAGGACACAACAGCGGCGTCTACCACTGTCTCCTCACGCTCTGGTGCTGCGTCCCGGCGTACTTTGGACCCCACCGACCTCATTTCGACGAGGACCCGCAGGCGTGCTGCTGCCGCAGCAGGTGTTCCGCGCCCGGCTGTGGATTTTGGATTTTTACAGCCGGAAGACGCGCTTCTCGAGCCGACTGTTCCTCCTTCTGTGGTTCGTACGCCTCGCGTTCGCTCATCTTCGGCTTCCAGCCCGGTAGAGCCCGCCGCCTCGGCGCCGCTGAATCCGATTCCAGAGATTTCAGCTCGTTCGGACCCGTTACCTCCGACGCACGCGTCTGGACCATTGCTTGGTTCTACGCATGTCCCGCCGGCTGCTGATGCTCCAGTGCTTTCGGGCGTGGAGCTCGATTTATGTGAATCAGTTGAGAGTTTTTCTCATTCTGATCGGGCGCGAGAACAACGCGGTGAACCCGTGTGTGACGCGGCCATACGCTACCTCCTTCTAGGCCAACCTTCCGAGTTGCCACCTGGTTTTCTTAACCACCTTCCGCTACATTGTGGACCTTCGTTCTCGGACATCCGTGAATTGGCGCATAAAGGCCGGTTACACGTCGACGATGATGATGTGGTGCTTCTTGTAAAGAAACCGACTACATCCACACCTGCCGCTTCCACGCGCCCTGGTGGGCGCGCTGCGCGTCTACTCAACGACGAACCTATCCGGGTTTACGTCCCTATGTTGATGCGTCCGTGGATTATGCAGGTGTGCCACGCTAATGCTTCGTGCCATCTTGGTGCGGCGCGAACGCTGTCGATGTTAGAGGGTTTTTATTGGTGGATTGGCATGAGCGTTTGCACCAAATGGTGGATTCGTCATTGCCTGCGGTGCCAAGCTCGCAAAACATCTCGACAAACAGCCCGGTGGCCGATTCTAAGCCTCCCGCTGCCCTCCGGACCTGGAGTGTCCGTGAGTGTCGATTACTTCGGCCCACTGCCGACCACCCCTCGGGGTCACACGTACATTCTGCTGTTCACCGATCGTTTTAGTCGACGTGCTGATATGTACGCCGTTACGGCCGCTGAGTTTCCCGCCGAAGGTACTGCAGATATTTTGGTGAATCGGTATATCCCTTTGTGGGGTTGCCCTTCGAGTCTTTTATCGGACAACGGCACACACTTTTGTTCGAGACTGTCCCACGCCGTTTACAAACGTCTCGCAGTTCGCAAAGTGGCCACCATCCTAATGGAAACGGTGGTATCGAGCGAGTCAACCACACTATGGCACAAATGCTTGCCATGGTTGCGAACGAAAGGCAAGATGATTGGGATCTTCATCTCCCTCATGTGGAGTTTGCGTATAATAACTCTGTTAGCGCTGCCACCGGTTTAGCACCTAATGAGGTGCACATCAGCCGTTAGCCTCGCCTCCCGATGACTGTCCTCGAGCATCCTTATGCTCGTGGTCATCAAAGTTTAGGTCGCGATCATCTCGAATATTGCGACCTCGCTGCTGATCGCCAACGTCGTGCCTACGAGTTGGTGCGCGAACAGCACAAATTATCCGTTTCTCGGATCGAGCGGCGAAATTCCGCTCTCTCGGATGCCTTACACAAGCTTCCGACTTACGCCATCGGCGATTGGGTTTGGATCTATAATACCGAATCTACCATTCGTTCAGGTGTTCGATCAGGTACCGACGACAAGGTTCTCAAAGCGAAGTTATCGTTGCTTTGGACCGGTCCGTTTAAGGTGTTGGCTGTCGGCCCCTGTTCGAAAGCCCCTGATGGCAGCCCTCTCGCCGCCAAGTTGTTGTACTTGGATCTTCCGTCGGACCTGCCGGGCAAAGACTCGAAACGTCGTGTTTCCGTCGTACGCTGCAAGCCATGCGCCAATCCGCATGACGCTGAGGACCAGCCGCGGTTTCTGCCGGGTGGTCTCACGCATATGTTTAAAAAATAACTATACGACTAAATCTCCTCCGTATCATGTTACGGAATGACGTCTCGACCTCGGTCGAACGTCTCGAGGTTGACCAAATTACGGGTCACCAGTCTGTTCGAGGTCGTGGTGGTGTCATCGCTGTCCTTTATCAGACACATTGGAAGGGTCTTCTCCGCCCTTCTTGGGAGCGTGAGATGGACCTTCAGCACGTTCGATCGCAGATTCTCCGGGATTGGACGGGTACGCCCGACCAACACCGTCAGACGAATCGCCGTTACCGTGCCATGCGTATTGGCGCCGCCGCACGCGAATTGGCACGTGCTACGGGCGAGAAATATTTGCCTCCGGGTTACTCGTTTGTCTCCCGGTCAACCTGGGACCGTTGTTTCGCCGATACTCCTCTACCTGTGGGTGCGTTTTTCTGGTACAAGGCTCAAGATGGACTTTGGTGGCTGGGCAAGATTTCTGGACCGACTGAACGGGCTGAACACTACATCGTCTGCTTCCTCGACGACCCTGGACCGATCAAGATCGCCCTCTCCGATGCNGGAAGGGTCTTCTCCGCCCTTCTTGGGAGCGTGAGATGGACCTTCAGCACGTTCGATCGCAGATTCTCCGGGATTGGACGGGTACGCCCGACCAACACCGTCAGACGAATCGCCGTTACCGTGCCATGCGTATTGGCGCCGCCGCACGCGAATTGGCACGTGCTACGGGCGAGAAATATTTGCCTCCGGGTTACTCGTTTGTCTCCCGGTCAACCTGGGACCGTTGTTTCGCCGATACTCCTCTACCTGTGGGTGCGTTTTTCTGGTACAAGGCTCAAGATGGACTTTGGTGGCTGGGCAAGATTTCTGGACCGACTGAACGGGCTGAACACTACATCGTCTGCTTCCTCGACGACCCTGGACCGATCAAGATCGCCCTCTCCGATGTTCGCTACTCTACCCTCGGATCTGCCGTCTGTGGTTCATGGTGTCTTCAAGTTCACGGCGGAAGCGCTCTCATGAAAGGACTTCTTCGCAATGTTGATATGTCGCGGAACGTGGAGGAGGCACATTTGTCGTCCGGCGATCCGACGCACGCCCGCTAAGATGGCGTGTTTCAGGGTTTCTGTCTGTTTGGTTTCTGTGTGATCTTTCAGTTGCGATGTACGCCTGATATGCGGTTTGCGCTCCAGTACTTGTGGGCTGTTATTGCCTACTGGAGTAAATCGCGGTGTCAGATTTCGTTTTGGTATTTCGACCCCTTCTTCCGTCATTTTGACGATCGGTTTGTTTCCGTCTGGCACGTCGTTTTGTCCTCCTTCGAGTCTTTCCGCTCTTCTACTCTTTCACCGTTCGCATGGTCGAGCTTCGGTTCCCTGTGGCGGTTGATGGTGTCGGTCCTCCTTGTGGGTCTACACCTTGTTTTACTTGTCGCAACGTTTGGTTTCTTACCTGTCGGGTACATTGTGATGCTTTTGCATCTTCCGGGTTTATTGGTGGTTTTCGTTCATATGGGCTAGCCGTACATGCTTTAGTCGCTCCTTGTTGCCTCGGTGACGCTGACTGCTTCGAGTTNCCCGCTAAGATGGCGTGTTTCAGGGTTTCTGTCTGTTTGGTTTCTGTGTGATCTTTCAGTTGCGATGTACGCCTGATATGCGGTTTGCGCTCCAGTACTTGTGGGCTGTTATTGCCTACTGGAGTAAATCGCGGTGTCAGATTTCGTTTTGGTATTTCGACCCCTTCTTCCGTCATTTTGACGATCGGTTTGTTTCCGTCTGGCACGTCGTTTTGTCCTCCTTCGAGTCTTTCCGCTCTTCTACTCTTTCACCGTTCGCATGGTCGAGCTTCGGTTCCCTGTGGCGGTTGATGGTGTCGGTCCTCCTTGTGGGTCTACACCTTGTTTTACTTGTCGCAACGTTTGGTTTCTTACCTGTCGGGTACATTGTGATGCTTTTGCATCTTCCGGGTTTATTGGTGGTTTTCGTTCATATGGGCTAGCCGTACATGCTTTAGTCGCTCCTTGTTGCCTCGGTGACGCTGACTGCTTCGAGTTTCCAGTCGTTCGGTTCGTACGTGTAGTTTTTGTCTTCCCGACCGTGGTTTTCTTGTGTTTTCCTTTCTTTGTTTGGGTCCTGACCTGTTATGGTATTTGTAGCGTTGCCGGCTTTTCTGTTGTTATTCCTTCCTTTCGTCTGTGTACGTAGCCCCGTATCTATCCTTTTTCCTACGTCGTTGTTGGGTCAAACGATGGTCTTGCGACTCACCGTGTGAGAGGTGTGGGAGGGTAAATTTTTGGTATTTGGGAGCCCCGCATCCTCGATCCTTTCATTTTGGGATCAGCCAATTGATTGTCAAGTTCCGAGATTTCAAGTATCTGCGTATGAGAATCTCCAGGGTGGGCTAGTGTTATGGGATTTGAAATGTAGCAAGTATCAACGGTTATGCGGCGTAATTCCCTTAGGAAAGTGCGGGAGATGCAACTCCCGCTGGAAGGATAAACCCGGGGACAGGTCCTTTGTAGCCCCTATATGAGGGAGCTCGACCTCCCCCACTGTGCTCAGTCTAC